ACCCTAAACTATTTAATGAATTAATTAAAATATGGAATGGCTTAGAACACAATATAAAAAATCTACAAAGTATTAGTTTATTTAAAAGAGGAATACATAACAGACTACTGAAAAAATATAGATAAAACTGGTAATCTTTAATACTTGATCGAAATTTCACTTTTTTTCCATTGTATTTGTCATATTATCATTTATGAATCTTGATTTATAAATGAATCGTCTTCTATTATTATCTTTTTATTTTTATTTTGTAGTTATTATTGTTCTTTCTTTGTAGGGCATCAAAACTTAAAGCTTGCTTGTAATTGATGCCTTTTCAATTAATCTTTGAATTGAGAATTGTAAAAAAAATATATGATAAAGGAAATTGATTGAATAAAAATTTATTGTGATATTAAATCTAATGTGATAGAGCTAAAAGGCCATAATGAAAATGTTGAAATCGTGAACAAATTATTATTGTATTTTGGTAACATAATATTTCGTTAAAGTTTTGGAAGGGCCGGCTGATAAAGTTGTAGTGTTACAGCATTGATGTTTAACCATTATTATTTGTTAACTGCTATGGCTTTGGATGGATGATGGTATGGACGATTGAAAACATATGTTAATGATGATGGAATTCAGGGGGAAGACTGTCCCCTTCCTTTTGGAAAGCAAAAAAAGACACTCTTCTTCCTTTTGGAAAGCAAAAAAAAAAGAAAGAAAAAAAGAAAACATTGATCACAAAAAATGGACCCCTAGGACAGTGTTATCTTCATTGGCCTCACTTGATTCCCCAACACTAGGCTGGTGGGTGCACTTTCCCAGAAATATATCAGTAAAACTTTTGGTAGTTATTTGTGTTGTAAACGTTTGTGCCTCTTGAGTATGTTCGGACCTTTGTCAGATAGCTTCTGAGAGGCTGTGTGACATTTTTTGGGACTACTCGTCCAGGAAATAATAATATACAAGAACACTGATGAAAAGAACAAACCTAAGTCGGGCAGAATATTACCTGTCCCTAAACTGGATCATCCAAAGTTAAGGCAAGTAGACCTAAATTACCAGCATTTAATGAAGGTAATAATGATCTGGATTCTTATTTAAAACGATATGAAACGTATGCCACATGATTTGGCAGTAAATTTAAGTTCTTTATAATTAACAGGAAAATCTCGTTTATTTTAGGTTATCTACAGCCGAAGCAAATGATTACAAATTACTTAAACTGCTCTATTGAAGCCTTTCCATTTGACATGATGGGTTACATCTTGCAAGACCTGAAGCTGGGCGTTAATTTGCGGCAATTTGAAAGATGTTTTGACTAGCTGGATAGAATTAGCAGATGCAGTCAAGTTATGACATTTTGCTACGAGAACAGTTTACAGTAAGTAGGAGGCACTTTACTTTGGGAAATCAGCTGAGAACTTTTTTTAAACTGCTATGGCTGAAATTCCAAAGCAGTACGTGTTATTTGTGTCATCAAGTACAGTAGGTATTTGGAAAGAAATTCTCAATTTTTAGCATTGTCTAATCCAATAATAATTGTTATAGGAGTTGGACACGTTGCCAGAAACTGCAGGCAGTACAGACAAATGTGCCGGCTTACCTTATTCCAAGACATGTCAACCGAAATCTACTTTCCACGAAGAAGGTAGCAACGAAGAATCAGAAGTGGATAAATATAAACCAGACATAAGTGCTTGCATAGTTGAAAGAAAAGCAGCATCATTAGGTGACTGAGGGTAGTCAGGTAATGCCTACATGTGGGCATTTTCTTTCTATTGTGAGCGCAGCTTGTACAATTTACTAAGAGAATGCCAGTTTCCACAGGTACTGTTGGCTCGCATTCAGTTTCTGTTCTCCGTGACAGTGATGGCATGGTGTGGTGGTCAATAAAGGATTTGTTTTGTGTTACCTAGACAACTGACTGGCAAGATAAAAATAACCCCGTGTTTTAATAATGGTACAATATAGTTTAAATTTGATGATGTTTCAAAATTGAATTTTCTGTAGTATTTAAAATGTATTTAATGTATTGTTTCCATATTTATAGTTCTATTATTATTTTTCTGTTATTTTAGTATTCTCATTTAGGGACCACGGTGAAATAAGTTGCTTTTTGTAATTTCCTGTGTTTTTTATCCTTAAATGTTTTCCCAGTCAATATCCTTTTCATGTTTTTATATAATTTTGATGCCTTTCGTATGTGTCTGTGTATATTTGTAACGCCAATGTGGAAAAGCAAATATACAATCTGTATTTACTGTATACCCTTGGATAAAGATTATTTATTTCAATAATTAAACTTTAGTAATTCTTGTGGCCATTTTCACCTAATATCCTGGACACACCCACCTGTGTAGCAGACTGTGAATTCTAAAGTACCGCTTGACATGAGTTGACGACGGATACTGTGGACAAGCTGTATTTTAGTTTAAAAAAAATGCCATTGTTTTATGATTATGGGGTATATTTGTGATGTACGTATCAACAAAACGAGGTAGGCCTATGTATTGTATGTGTTAAAATAAAACAATTGCAATTTGTATTTTTTTAAAGACTTTTTAAGTTCCGTTATCAAACAATACGAGTCAGTTTCTTTGTAGGTGTGCATGGCATGGTGGAAATAGACTCGGGCGTTTTTAAGTTCCGTTATCAAACAATACGAGTCAGTTTCTTTGTAGGTGTGCATGGCATGGTGGAAATAGACTCGGGCGGATGAACATGGCTTGTTTCGAAAAGGATTTTTGATGTGATTAGGTAGGCCTGTGCATTTTATATACTTGTACATGTGTACTTGTGTACTGTTTTTCAAAGTTGTACAGTTGCATAATTTAACAAATATTGAAATGCAATGCAAGTAACATAAACATTCCTAAATATATATACATTACAAATAATTAAGAATTATGAGAGTTTTTAAAAGATAAAATAGTCATGTATGTATGTGTGTACCGGTATACATACGTACGTACGTTGCATACATATTCTTTTTTTCATGATTCAATTAACCCCAAAAAAAAAAAAAAAAAAAAATCAGCTCACATGTCCTAAAACGGTAGACCTAGAAGTTTTTATTTTTATTTTATTTTTTGACTAAGGGAAGGGTGATCAAGACCCCTGACACTCCAGATTCGCCAAAATGTAACTCGGTTGGGGTCTGGATAAACACTCTCTTTCCGCTCAATCTCCTCCTTTTTCCTCTTTCTTTTCTTGCATTTCTTTCTGATCATACAAAAATCTCCATAGACATATATTTTCTGCCAAAAAGTGGGGTCCCCCAGTCCCATGGTTGAGTTGTCCTACGTAAAACCTATTTCTAACCCATAAAACAAAAACAAAGAAAGTCCATTGGATCTTCCAACTGATGATATAATTTCTTCGTTCCTTAAAATTATCATGTCTCAACCTTACTGTTTCTTGTTCTTTTTTTTTTTTTTGGCAGATGAAGCAACAGAACATGACCCATGCGGCAAGGCGTGAAAAGTGTGCTGAAGTTTTGTTAGAACATTTACTGAATAGTGCGATAATCCCGGTAAAGGAAGGTATAGGAGCATCCATCAATTTTAAAGGATATGGAATCATGTCTGTTTGACAATGGTGCATATTGATGTGGCAATACAATACTGTTTGTGAGAATTATATTTGATGGTGTTTGGAAAAAAATAAAACAATTGAAAAGCATCACAGTAGGCCTACTTGCTGCTACTTGGAAATTGGACTCTTGCAAGATTTTGTTTGCTTAAATCAGATTCAACACGAAGCCACTATAGTGTAAGCTCAGTTGTTCAATTCCTACCCAAATGACTTTATTTGCAAGTATCATCGAACATGCTGAGCATTCAGTATGATGAAATAAAACATTCCTAACATAAAAAACAGCATTGAATGGCATTACAATCCTCAGTGGTACATGGAAATGGGATTTACACACCAGATAACTAGCCTGGTTCTTAACCACTACAACACTAAAATTGCGCTTTTCCAAATCAGTATTTGTGAAAGTCACTGAGGATATAAAAACAATATCTGTATTTAAACAATTTTTTGTTTTGCAGACGACAGACAACTATCTGCAAGATGATAAGTAACTTTTGATATACATCAAAGAATTAATAATACTGTAAGTATTAAGTGGAATATACTGAAGCTGAATGATTAACTTTATTATTACCTTTAATTTTATTTAATTCATGTTTTTTTTTTTAGAATATTTCTGGTGGATGCAGCAACACAGTTGCAAGACAGGAAAAGTACTGCTGCAGAGGAAGACAAGGAAGAGAAACCTATTATAATTAATTTTGTCTAATATAGGCAATTTAATTTAGTTAATTTAATTTGTCATGCTTAATACAATACAGAAGTTTTGTTAACATCTTGCTGAATATTGTGATGCCGTAATCCTGGTGAAAACGGTTGTATTATTTGTTGCAGCATCAAGACAACAATTGCTTAATTCTGAAAAAAACTGAGTATATTGTACAGAAGATATAAACTGGCTAATTACAATCCGACTAGAGAACCAGAAAACTACTATGATTAATAGCAGAGCATTTTAACTTTCTATATAATGAATTGTTGATGCCAATAATTTACATTAAGTGATTTTGGTTATGAAGATAATAAAAAATATAAGTAGTGTGTTGACTTTTCTTTGCTGTTCAAGTTTGAAGACTAGTGGATGCAGGTAAATTGTTGCAGCATCAAGACAACGATTGCTTCATTTTGAAAAACTGATTATATTGTACAGAAGATATAAACTGAATATTACTAAGAGAACCAGAAAACTAATATAACTTGTATTTTAACTTTCCATATAATGAATTGTTGATGCCTAATAATTTTCATTACGCGATTTTGGTTATGAAGATGATAAAAAAAAATTCAATAGTGTTTTGATGTTTGTTTGCTGTTCAAGTTTGAAGACTGATGGCTTGACTGATGGATGCAGGTAAGATGAAAAAAGCGCCCTCCGATAGAAAAAGGCTAATTTTTCCCATGTCCCTCAATTTCTATTAGAAGTGGTGCTGAAGGGTGCCCTCTAATAGAAAGCCAAAATTTCCAGGGTCTCTAAAATTATTTAAAGGGGTCCTGTGTGGTGCTGAAAACCGCCCTCTAAAGCCACTTTAGTTTAATGTTTTTCGGTGGTCTCTTATTTGTCATTAATTTAATTAATAAGGAGGTAGTGCCCTCTAATAGCCAGTTTTTATGTTATTCTGAAAAACTTGGATGTTAGAGGGCGCTTACTGCCGTTGACAGTTAAGACGCCCTAAAAAACTTTAAATTAAAATGGTTATTTAGGGCGATTTTCTTCACTATTTTTATCAGAACCGGACAGATTAATGTGGCCAAATAACTTAGTCATATTTTGGGCCTTTTTCTATTCGAGGGCGTTTTTTTTTTTTTTGCCATCCTGCTTTTTCAATGCTCGAGAAGAAGAAAATACTCAATAATAAACTGAAGACAATGAATATTTATTTATTCAAAATACTCCAATACAATGAATATTTATTCAAAATATTTCCAAAACGATACTGAATTACAAAGAATATTTATTTGAAATAGAAAGCTTCAATTGCCAAATCAGTTGCCACATTCTGAAAGAATAAGAAATTAGAGCAATAAGCTATGGAATGGAAAACATTCAAAGTTATTTTCAATTGAAACATTTACGCAAATTTATACAATTTTAAGTCCAGTGGAAAGGGAAAACTATTTAAGTTATTTTTAATTGAAACATTTATGCAAATTTATACAATTTTTAATTCCAGTGGAAAGGGTAAACATTTTAAGTTATTTCTAATTCCAGTGGAAAGGGAAAACATTTACATTTATTTTTAATTGAAACATTTACGCAAATTTATACTATTTTAAGTTATTTTTAATTGAAACATTTACGCAAATTATACAACAATTTTTAAGTCCAGTGGAAAGGGAAAACATTTAATGTTATTTTTAATTGAAACATTTGCGCAAATTTATACAATTTTTAAGTCCAGTGGAAAGGAAAATTATTTAAATTTATTTTTAATTGAAACATTTACGCAAAATTATACAACTATTTTTGAGTCCAGTGGAAAGGAATATGTTTAAAGTTATTTTTAATTGAAACATTTACGCAAATTTATACAACAATTTTTAAGTCCAGTGGAAAGGAAAACTAAAGTTATTTTTAATTGAAACATTTACGCAAATTAATACAATTTAAAGTTATTTATTATTACATGTAAATCAAATAATTTAAGAAACAAGTATCAAATCTGAAATCAGTGTTGGCATTTATTTCTCCCACAAAGCAATTTGCAATGGACATGCAATTTACAATAAGAAAATTCACAAAGTTTTTCTAGCACACTCACCATTCAGTAGAGGAAGCAAAATTCCCCATTCAGCCAAGCAGGGCTAGTCCACTTGTTGCAGAGGTGCAAAGTCTAAATTTTCTTCAGAATTTCTATAGTAAAATAAATTGCAAATTTATAAATACAAATGCACCATAAATATCAAAATGTTTAATTGTTAATTTAATTATTATAATTCTATAAAAAAATATATGAATTTGGTCAAATAATTAAATTTTAATTTTATGAACTAATAATCATAACATAATTAAATATTATATGCAGAATGAAAATGATTTGTCAGGTATGTGCCTCCTAAAGTGGGGTGTGGATGTGGGGACCAATTAATGTGATTTAAGGGCAAACAGTCTACACCAGATATTTCAAAAATAGGTCAATTGATCTTTGAATGAAACTTTTGGGAAAGTAAACAAGTTAGGAAAGAAGAAATTATGTGTTGGGAGACCATCTAATTTAGGGTGTAAATTTGAGGGTCATTTAAATTTGTCAGGTCCCAGACCTACAGTAAATCTTAATGGGTATGATTGCAACTTTGTATAACAGTTTGTCAAGGTCTAGTATTAAAAGAAATGATTAATTGTTTGTGACAATCCAGAGTAGGGTGTGGATAAAGTGGACCATTCAAATGAAAACATCCCAGACCAGATATTTCACACTAACGGATCACCTGATTTAAATGAAACTTTCGGGAAAGTTAAAAGGAAGATATTATTATTTGTTGGGGACAATCCAGGTTAGAGTGTAAATTTAAGGGTTATTTAATTGCTTACATCCCAGATATAAATGGATGAAAATGAAACTTTGCAGAATATTAGTTTTTCATGGTCAGAGAATGATGAAATTTTGGTGACAATCTGGTATGGATATGAGGACCATTTAAAAGAAAACGTCCCAGACCAGATATTTTGAAAACGGATCAACTGATCTGAACGAAACATATGGGTAAGTTTAACCAAGTTACAAGGAAGAAATTATTGTGTTGGGCATGATCCAGTTTAGGGTGTAAATGTGAGAGTCATTTAAATATCTGATGACCCAAACATAAATCCCTGAAAAGTTGTTAATGGGTCTAAATGTTCACTTTCTGTATATAGTTTGTCAAGGTCAATTCTTATAGCAAACCACTTTATATAGTTTTGTTCATTGTTTTGTTATATTAATGACAAAATAAAATAATATTATTATTTTGATCTCTCCAACTGTATTACCCTATTAATTTTACATTAATTTCAATTAAAAAAAACTTATTTCATATAAATTTTATTTTAATTTATTTTAAAATAATTTAATTATGGTTTTTGTGTTATAATATTGAAATTGTAATGTTTATTCTTAGTGATAAATCAGGTCGAAAGTTATCCCTCAAAGCTTTTACAATGGACAAGAATTCATAAGAACAAGTTTTTCCACTCACCATTCAGTAGAATTAACGAGCACAGAACAACAAAGCAACATTATAGCCATTGAGCTGAGCAGGATGAGTCCACCGGTTTGCTGAAATCTTTGTAATGTTCAGCCTTCTACAAAATTTTTACTGAAATAAAAAACATACATTCATCAAAAAACTAGAATTAGGAAAAGAAAAGCAACAAACATTAAAATATGTAAATTTTAATTTTAGAATAATACTTGTCCATAGCAAATAAAAAAATTATTTTAATATTATTATTACTATCATCATTATTTAATTCCAACATTAGGTCAAATAATGAAATTTTAATGTTAATCATTAATGTAATTATTTTAAGAACAAGAATCATATAAATGTATTTTAT